TTAACACACTTCAATTCAGAGCCAGAGTAGCTCGCGGGCTCAACTGATGGTGTTGTCGGCTAAGATCTGAGAGAAAACAATGAGATTGCTAGAGAAGATATGAGAAGCTATCTGATGAGAAGCAATCGACTAAGTGAATCGTTAGCGATCGATTGAATGATCCATCGCAAACCTAGAGGTGCGGTGAAAGCGAATAATTTCCCTTTTATTTTTTGAGTGCTACTCGTTTGTTCTGATATACTCCGTAGATAGTTAGACTGTTAACAAAAAGTATATCAGATAGTTAGGCGCGGAAAAATGAAATACTACGGGAACGGTTTAATTGTGGAAAAAGTTGTCAAATTAAACAACAACAATTTTTTAGAGTTTTTTCCAGGAATAATGTTAATTAAATAAATAATTCCCAAAATACTGCCGGGTTAAGAATAATTCCCAAAATACTGCTGGGTTAACCACGGTTAAGAAAAGCCGCCACTTGAAGTGGCGGTTCTTGAACTGTATTTACAAAAGCCGCCAATTGGACTGGCGGCTCTTCAATAGCAATACAAAAGCCGCCACTTGAAGTGGCGGCTCATTAATTCGTAGACATATCCTCTCCTTCCCAGGCGACGAACGAAGCAGACCTCACTCTGCAGCAACCGACGGACGACGACGACAGCCGTGAGTGGTGCCCCGATTCTTGCCAGTTCTCGTCCAAAAGAAGCTCAAATCAAAGGGAAAATAGTCGTGGTGTACCCGAGGTCGTTTGTTCTCCATTCTAGCGACTTTCTACCGTTTGAATAGAGATATTCCACCATTTTTGCTAAACCTAAGTTTTTTAATTTGGTGTTCGAAATTAGTTGTTTTTTTAATTATTTTCTTTGTATTTGATGTTGTGAAATATATAAGTTCTTAATCTTGTTATAATGATTGAATTTATATAATTTGTAAAATTTGAATTATACCAAGTTTCACCATATTTGGTAAAGCTAGGTTTTTTTAGTTATTGCTCGAAATTGTTTGAAATTGTTTTTGGTTTGCTCAAAATTGTTGTTGATTTGCTGGCAGTTGTTGTTGTTTAATTGTTTATTAACGGACTTTGCTTTTCTACAACTAATTAACTAGTGTTAATTAATCATGTGTTAATTTGTTGTTTTTTCATTACTCTATTTTTTTGTCACTAGTTAATTATTATTAGTCCTACTTGAATGGTATGAAATCTTACTATGTATCTACGATGTAATACTTTTCGTTTCAATTATAGTAATTGTAGTTGATTTTAAAATAACGGCATACGTCATACTTTTTTTTGGAACATTTTTTCGTAGAATATGTCTAGAAACTTCTCCATTGTTTGTCAATGGGGAGGAAATATTATCGAGGAGTCAAACGGAGTTCAATATGAAGGAGGGTTTCGGAAGATAATTGTTGTTTCCCGTGGGGTGGATCTGGCTGAAATAACGAATAAAATTTATACCGCCACATCCATCAATCGTATGAAGACGTTGGATTTGAAGGTTAAATATCCCATGCATGGTGGATCATACATGTTGATGCCTCTTGCTGACGACGAAGCCGTTACAGGAATGTGGACTGTAATCGAGAATCTTGAAATGCATACCATGGAGATATATGTTGAAGAAGTGGCGGTGTTGCCCATACAACCTGGCCACCCGCCATTGTCTTTTACATCCCCAAGTGTTCCAGTTGTGATGAATATGGTTACACAGGAGAATGGAATATATGTGAACAGTGCTGCAACGTTTCTAGATTCACAGTGCACTGACGATGATGCAGATGAAAATGTGAACCACGACGCGCTAACAGATTCAGATGAAGATGGTGGTGATCTCGTGAGTGGCAATGCTCCATCCAGCCACTACACTAAAGTTTATGAGCTCCCTGCGGGATATGATGAATCATGGAAGGGTTCTACAACTTGTAGTCGTTTTTCTGTAGATGGTGAGTTTGAGGTTGGGCAAGAGTTTGATAATAAGAAACAACTGATCAACATGGTTAGAGCATACTCTGTAAAGAGGAACCAATTTTTCACAGTTGTTGAGTCTGACAAACACAAATGGGTGGCAGAGTGTAAGAGGAGAAAAGACTGTGGCTGCACTTGGCGGATCCGGGCTACCAAAAAACATGAGAAGCTAGATATGTTCAAAGTTGTTCGTTATGCAGGTCCTCATATACCTACTTGTGTAGGTAACGTCGATAACAATGACCATGCTGGTATCACAGCTCAGTTCATAGCACATGAAATTATTGATCTTCTTCGTACCGATCCATCACTAAAAGTCCGCACTATTAGTCAGCTTATGAAGGAAAGGTACGGCTATATACCTTCGTATAAGCGAAGTTGGTTGGCTAAACAAAAAGCTATCGGTGAAATATTTGGAGATTGGGAGGCGTCGTATTCTGAATTGCCTCATTTCATGTTGGCATTACAACATTCCAATCCAGGGACAGTCGTGCATTGGTACCCACCTCTTTCAGGTACCAATGAGTTATTAAAATCATTATTGTATCATATTAAATTTCATTATAAATTTGTCCTCTTAATTTTCTCCATCTTTTAGGTACCACTGATGTTCACCTAAAGAATCTGTTCATATGGACAGCAAGTCAACGCCAAAAAAAGAAATTTGATGGTGGATTTAATAAGATAGGCGAAATGCAGGCACAAGCACGAGAATATCTAGCCAACATTGGTTTGGAGAAGTGGTCTTTACACCACGACGGGGGGTACAGGTATGACACCACAACAACAAACATGGCTGAAGTTTTCAATAGTGTCATGAAGAGTGCACGATACCTACCTGTAACCGCCTTAGTTGAGTTATCATTTTATCGTGTGAATGCCTATTTTGTGGAAAGAAGAGAAACTAGTAAGAGAAGATTAGCAAAAGGGCATCGCTACTGCCAGCAAGTGACCGAAATGATAGAGAAAAATATGGAAAAGGCAAAGCATCACAAGGTCACAATATTTGACATAGGCCATGTTTTATACCAAGTAGAGACGGGTCGTGGTGGTCGAACCACGGGGAATGGTGGCAGAAAACAAACGGTGAATTTGCAACGTCGCCATTGCACATGTCAGAAGCTGAATATTTATAAGATTCCTTGTTCACATATATTAGCGGTATGCAGACACCGTAGTTTGTCCTATGATGCTTTTGTTGATAAATTTTTTTCTTCCTCGGAGTATGCGGCTTCCTATAAAAGAGTATTTAAGCCCATACCAGATATAGCATACCGACCTACTTACACTGGACCACGAGTTGTGCATGACCCGTCGATGATTCGCGCTAAAGGTCGTCCGAAGGCTAAACGATTGAGAAATGAAATGGATGAAGGTCCTAAAGGTACTGTGAGATGCGGTAACTGCAAGCAAACAGGGCATAACAGGACCACATGTGCTAGAAGATCAGAGGGAAACGTAGGGAGTTCTACTGGGTAATGTTGTTCTTTTATTCGCAAATGCATTAGCAATATTAATAAATATATAATTTTAATTTAATATTAAAATGAAATAACTAATACACTTATTACTTTTTACAGCGCCGATGCAGGTGTCAGTGGATCCCGGACCGATTGATCCTTCAGTCCTGACATTGCAGGCCACGCACCGGAGCGAGGATGTGTGGCGTGGCCTGGATGTTCAGGTAGATAGGTGTCGTGAGCACCTACGCAGTACATTCCACATGGGGGTGGACGATAGGATTCTTCATTACGTTCGATTAGCCGGGTTTTATGGTGTTCATAGATTAGTTTCGACTTTGCATATAGATAGAGCATTACTTACCGCTCTACTTGAGCGTTGGCGACAGGAGACTCACACATTCCATTTACCGGTGGGTGAGGTCACGATCACATTAGGAGATGTGGCTGTATTGGCAGGTCTACCGATCCAGGGTCGGGCAGTTACTGGGACTGCATGTAGACTGTGGGTTGATGTGGTACATAGATTGTTGGGAGTACGGCCACACCCGGGGACAGATATTCGGGGGTCTGCTTTGAGGATGGCTTGGTTGAGAGAGCATTTTGTTGGTTTACCTGCTGATGCTGATGATGATGTTGTGCAGCAGTACGCGAGAGCATACATTCTGATGCTTATGGGAGCTTCCACGTTTGCAGACAAAAGTGGGAATGAGGTGCAGGTCTTGTATTTACCCATTCTGCAGTCTTTTGATGTAGCTGCATTTTATAGCTGGGGTAGTGCCACTTTAGCATACCTATATCGGCAGTTATGTCGAGGTTGTCATCGTGACGGTGGAGAGATGGGTGGGTTTTTATTGCTCATACAGCTATGGTCATGGGAGCACATTCATATCGGCAGACCTGTCATACTGCGATATCATGGGGTAGATGGTGGTCCTCTTGATGATGATATGGATCAGCACGCAGTACTTGGGCCACATCATGTTCGTGGTGAGGATCCTTTGGGTCGTAGGTATGTTTACGATTTTTTTTTGTATGACGTACGTGAATCCTGTTATATATTCTTATACATTACAATGTGTCAGATGGCTATTTGCTCATGTCACGCGCACGTCATCCGCTGCTGGGTTAGGATACTACCGAGATGCTTTAGATCGCTTGTGTGATGATCAGGTATATCATTAAATGTAAGTCATTTGTTTTATGTTTTTATAAACCATGGTATAACTTAATTTTATATTATAGATTACGTGGATGCCGTACACTGATGAGATTCTAGGCCTGTTGCCTCCTGTTGCCCGAGAGCACACTCAGATATGGCGAGCACGTGTGCCTTTGATATGTTTTGATGTTGTGGAGCATTACTTTCCTGATCGCGTACTACGCCAGTTTGGGTTGCAGCAGGTTACTCCCGGACCTTGTGATACATCTGTGGATTTGCACAAGATTGATAGACGGGGGAAGCACACTGAAGATTGGGGGATGCGCCATATTCAGTATATCACTATGTGGGATGATAGAGCGACGTATATAGTGGACGGGATCCCATCTTTAGTCCCCACAGCTTCTGTAGACTACATGACATGGTATTACACCATCACACGAGTGTTTATCTCTCCCAGTTTTCGTTTACCCACTGATCATTACCAGCCTAGCTCAGTCGCTCTTCATATGACGGTAAACAACATAGTCAATAAAATATCTTTATATATTTATTCATGTGTTTTTCACTAATAACCATGTTTGCATTACAGACACGGGCTTTGCGTAGCATCCATGACAGAGCGACTGCTATACTTGATGAGGCGGTAGATGTACAGGGATACCATGACGCTTGTTCAGGCATTGTTTCACTGTGTGCTGATGTATTGGGTCGAGTCGATTATGGATATATGGCCGCGTCTCAGCATTCCACTGCATCTACATCCGCAGCAGGGTCTTCTCAGGCAGTCCGACGTGATAGAGTTGTTCTTCAGCCTCGTAACCAGCGCAGACGTCCCCGAGCACAACTACATGAGCTTCATGATGATGATGATCACGTTGAGTTATGATATTTGTATTTCACTTATTGTGTGAAAGTTGTAGTATGCACTAGCAGATCGAATCATTTTGGGATACACCAGATTTATTATAACTTTTATGGATCATACTCAATTTTGTGGTGTACTGATTCCGTTTGTGAAAGTCTCATAATATGAAGTTTCATTCATTCGTTTTTTGTTTTGGATGTATGTTGTAATGTAGTTTCATTGATTCGTTTTGTGTTTCGGGTATATGTTTTCTTAGTAAATCATATGTTTGGTTGTTTTTTTTTTTACTGGAATGTATTGTGAGTCTCTGATGAGCACATAATCTGGTTATTATAGGTTATTACAGGTTTAGTTGTTTAAATTGGTGGTTATTATAGGTTATTACAGGTTTAGTTGTTTAAATTGGTGCTGCAGCAGGTACGTTTAACAAGAGCCGCCACTTCAAGTGGCGGCTTTTATACAACGACACAAGAGCCGCCACTCCAAATGGCGTCTTTTGTAGAGCTTCACAAGAGCCGCCACTTCAAGTGGCGGCTTTCCTTAACCGTGGTTAACCCCAGCAGTATTTTGGGAATTATTCTTAACCCGGCAGTATTTTGGGAATTATTTATTTAATTAGCATTATTCCGGGAAAAAACTCGCGTACACAGTCCAATGATAGTCACGGCCCACGGGAGAAGTGGAGAACTAGAGAAGTTTCATGTATTTTTACTAAAGTTGATTAAATACACAAATACGTAGTACGAACTACGAAGTATCAATCTGTTTAAATAGATGGTTTAGAACACTAGATAGTACATAAAGCAACATGCATCCATTTGTTTTGAATAATAAAGTATACAAAAGGGAGTTCTACGATGCTAGCTCGTTTAGTTTGTTTTTGATCGAGTTATCGCAATGATTAAATAAAATTCATGTAAATAAAAGTAGATATTTAAACAGATATTTAAAAATTCATTTAAATTAGTTATCAACTACCGTAGCAACTATAAATAGCTTTTCTACGTTTTTTTCTTATCACCAGAACTCCAGAAGTTAAAATAAGTATAAATACGAAGTAAGTACATACACAAACAACTATTAAGATTGATTAGTAACATCACAAAACGAAAATAACCATTCTAACTAATATACTTTATATTAATAATTTCTTGCAGTCCGATGACAAACATTAGCAAAAGAGAATTCGACGTTCTTGATCTGTTTGGTCAAAAATATTTGGAATGGAAAGTGGATGTTTTAGCACATTTGAAGGGCAATGGTTTAGAAGAAACAATTGAGACTAACAATCAATCGTCTTCCAAGGATAAAGCTAAAGCTATAATTTTCCTGCATCATCATCTCTACGAATGTCTCAAATCTGAATATCTTTTGGTAGATGATACAAAAGTATTATGGGATAATTTACAGGAGAGGTATGACCACCAACAAAAGGTTCTTTTACCTAAAGCTCAGTACGACTGGGTCAATCTAAGATTCCAAGATTTTAAATCTATCAGTGATCATAATTCTGCAATGTTCCAAATAACATCTAAGTTAAAGTTATGCGGACAAGAAATCACTGATGTTGAGATGGAGAAAACCTTTTATACTATCCATTTATCTAGTATGCTCCTCCAACATCAATATAGAGAAAAAAGTTTTCAAAAATACTCTGACCTTATATCATTTTTACTCGTTGCTGAGCAAAATAATGACATGTTAATGAAAAGCCACAATTTCAGACCCAGTGGTTCTAGCCCTTTTGTTTATGATCTATCTCGTCATAATTTTGCCACTGAATCAAATACAACACACAGTGGCATTCGAAGGCATTTCAAACGTGGGAATTTTAGTGGTCCTAATAACAAGCCACATCAAGAATATAAACGGGTCGAAAGATGTAATTACAAGGACAAGGGCAAACAAAAAATCCATCAAATAAATCGCCCTCCGAAATTCTCGAGAAAGACGACTTGTTATAAGTGTGGCATGACAGGGCACTGGGCAAATAAATGTCGTACTGCAAAGCATTTGATGGAACTATTCCAATTCTATGAATGTGAATAAAGACAAAAATGTAGAAGCTAATTTTGTCAAAGATGCAACTCCACCTCTTTCCAAATTTGATGTGTCTGATTTCATCATGGATGATGCCATTATGGGCGACGCTTTTGCCATATACCAAAATGTTGCAAAATAAAATATTAGACTCTTCATGTTGTAAAATACTAGTTTTATGTACTTTTTCTTCCCTTTTTATTTTGTTTTAAATAAATGTGTGCAATATATGTACTTTTATGTTAAATGATATGCATAATTTGTGATCATGTTTATTTACATATATTAAAGATATGGATCACTCAAGTGATAAAGAATTATGTTTGATAGATAATGCCACAACGCACACCATTTTGAGAAATAAAATATATTTCTCTCAAATGACGTTAGTTGAATCTAAAGTCAATACTGTATCAGGTGTTGATTGATGCTTCAACACGTTGGTCACATGTTAGTCTTTTATCGACTAGAAATAATTTAGCATTTGCTAAACTCCTTTCTCAAATTATAAGGTTGAAAGCTCATTTTCCGGATCACTCTATATAGAAAATCCGACTTGATAATGCAGGAGTTTACATCTCAAACATTTAACGACTATTGTATGTTGATTGAGAATGATGTGGAGCACCCTCTTGCTCATGTCCATACACAAAATAGTCTTGTTGAATCTTTAATTAAACGATTACAATTAATCGCCAGACCATTATTAATGAAGTGTAATTTACCTTCATCTGTTTGGGGACATGCTATTTTACATTCAGCGAATTTAATTAGACTTAGGCCAACTGCATATCATGAATATTCCCCAATGCAATTAGTAACTGAACAAGAGCCAAACCTAGAATCCATAAAAATATTTAGTAACTGAAAAATCTCTTGCAAATGGTTCTTCTATACGCAAAAGGATCGGTACACCACTAGGATCAAAAGATATAAAACCAAGAAAAACTAAAAGGCATGAATTAATCCGTGATGCAAAAAATGTTCATCCTTCTGAACAAGAAAGTGAACAAATTAAAAACTACTGGCATAGAAAATGATATTGTCAGAACAAACATCTCAAATGATGATCCAACTTCCTTGAATGAGGAAGATATTCCAGACAATGATAGAAACGTTGATAATTACGAGTATGAAATTTTCAATAAACTACGCTTCTACTGAAATTAGGGGTGGACTCGGGTCGGGCCAACCGGCCCGGAACCGGACCGGCCCGCTACTGTGCGGGCCCGGACCGGCCCGGTCAACCGGTTGGTGCACCGGTTCGGGCCACCCGGCCCGGTGGGATGGCGGTCCGGGCTCGGGCCCTGATTTTGGTGAACCGGCCCGGCCGGTTCGGGCCCGGGCCGGGCCAGATTTTAATTTTTTTTTTTTGAAATTTTTTTAAGTTTTGGGTTGGATTAGGTATTTTGGGCCATTTGAGGTGGTTTGGGGTGGTTTGGGGTTGAGGGGGAGGGGTAGGGGGTTAAAAAGGAGAACCCAAAAAAAAAAAAAAATTAGACCGGTTGGCCCGGCCCGGCCCGGTTTGACCCGGAACCGGAACCGGAACCGCCCACCGGCGGTTCGGGCCCGGGCCCTAGTTTTCTGGCCCGAGGCCCGGCCGGGCCCAGGCCCGAACCGGCCCGAGTCCACCCATAACTGAAATACGATTTAATCGAAAAGATGTTTATATTAAAAAATAATAATAAGATATATATTTGTCTATGTCGTTGTCACAAAGGTAATGAATGAAAACATTGACAATGAGCCAACATCAATTGAAGAATGTCGCAAAAGACACGGTTGGCCGAAATGGAATGAAGCAATTCAGGCAGAATTAAAATCGCTTGAAAAACGTGATGCTCTTGGACTGATAGTTCATACACCAAAAGGCGTAAAACCAGTAGGTTTTAAATGGGGTTTTGTGCGCAAACACAATGATGATAATGAAATTGTAATATATAAAGCCTGACTTGTTGCCCAAGGTTTTTCTCAAATGCTGGGAATTGATTATGGAGAAACTTTTTCTCTAGTAGTTGATGCAACTACATTAAGGTTTCTCATTTGCATGTCTCTTTTTGAAAGGCTGCAAATGCATGTGCCTAATGGATGTAGTGACTGCATATTTATACGGTTCACTCGGTACAGACATTTACATGAAAGTTCCCGGTGGATTCAAAATGCCCGAATTCAAAGCTTACAGCTCAAAACCTCGAGACATGTTTTCCATTAAATTACAAAAGTCATTGTATGGACTAAAACAATCTGGACGAATGTGGTATAATCGTCTCAGTGGATATCTTCTCAAAGAAGGATATTAGAATGATCCAATTAGTCCACGTGTTTTCATTCGGCGATCATATTCAGGGTTCGCCATAATTGCAGTATATGTTGATGACTTAAACATTATTGGAACTCTTGATGAAATTGAAAATACTGCAAAATATCTTATGAAAGAATTTTAAATGAAAGATCTCGGGAGAACCAAACTTTGTCTCAGACTTCAAATTGAGCATTTGAAGAATGAAATTTTCATCCATCAATCTAATTACACCGAGACCGTCTTGAAGCAGTTCTACATGGACAAAGCTCATCCATTGACCTCACCAATGGTGGTTCGTTCTCTCAACATATACACGATGATCCATTCCATCCCCGAGAAGACAACAAAGAAATATTCGGTCCCAAAGTCCCATATCTAAGTGTTATTGGAGCTTTAATGTATTTAGCTAGTAATACTAGACCAGATATTGCATTTTTCGTAAATTTACTAGCTAGGTACAGATCATGTCCAACAAGGTGTCATTGGAACGGGGTCAAGCACACATTCCGTTATCTTCGTGGTACAGTTGATCTCGGCCTGTCTACCACAAAGACGAAAAAGTCACTCTAAGCAGATATGCAGATGCTTGATACTTATAAGATCCTTAAAAGGCGAAATCACAAACTAGGTACGTATTTACTTATGGTAACACCGCAATCTCATGAAGATATATGAAGCAAACATTGAAGGCTACATCATCATATCATTCCGAGTTAATTGCACTATATGAAACCGGAAGAAAATGTGTGTGACCGGGATCTATGATTGAACACATCCC